CTGCTGAATTTGAAGAGCCCAACCGTGCGACAACTGGTTACTTGCAGCCTCAGCCTGTGGCGAATCCAGCGACAAATAACGCTCAATCTTATTTTAATAACTTCGCTCCACCAAGTCAGACATATGATATAACGAGTGGGATAGGTATTGAGTTCCCTATTACGAGCTCAGCGGCGACAACTGTACCTGAACCTACGGGTTCAGCTACGCTGAACCCCGTGCAGATGTCAGTTAATCCACTGGCTGCACGTGGTACTACTGACAACGTGCCTCCTAGTTTTCAGAACTTGGTGAGATTATGATTGTGATATCTGTGTCGAGGATCATGAAAGAGATCTATGTCAGAAATTCAAAAGAAACAATCTTATCACTTGTTTTGTGTAACAATGTAAAACTATTTCTGACAAAATAGCAAAGAATTGTAATTAATTCCTTTAATTTGTAATATATTAATTTTGAAACGAAAAATACTGACATAGGTCACTTTTGTAATCACCGACCATTTATATACTTTTAAAAATATAATGTTAATTGGGAATAAATTTTCATGTCTATTTTTCTCTGTATTTATTAGGGATGGATTAGAAGCTTTGTCATTTTAAAATTGCAAATAGTTATGAAATTGAAAACTCAATTTTTATCTATAATTTCTCTGAATAACTAAAGTCTTGACAAAGATCTCGTTGAAATTTTTGCACAATTTCGATAACGTGAAAAACGGAAATTCTGAAACCTAACATTTCGACTAATTTCAAAGTTCAATATCAAAGAACTTACCATTCCCTCTCTTCAAAATTTTCTCTCATCGATATTTCATGTTCAACATTAATACATCCAGTTAACACGTTAAGTGCCCAGCCGTTTTGCTTACCGTTCCGTTCAGGTCCAGACTCGGCCGTCAAGTGGGCCACAGTGTTCATAAAACTCGGAGATACTTATAACAGGAATTCCCAAACGTTAGATCCAAGGATGGCAAAGAATTTAACACCAAAAGTTACCATCTTTTGGTCCTAGTCTGTGCCGGTCCCTGGGAACCGGCGTGGCACTTAACGTGTAAACTACCATGTAGATTATATTCTACCAAACCCATAATACCCATAAATATTCATCGTTCTATGATAAATTTCAGGCCGCTGGTTCTTCAAATAAACGCATGCAGTACAGAGGGGTGTACCACCACTGGTTTTATCGCAAGAAAGTGGAGAACAAGGTGCTATGGCTTCCGTTCTCTATGCAGGACAGCTTGCGCTTAGAAGAGGTTCACAATTCCACAGAAATTACCCCTGAAACGATAGTTGCCACTGACGGTGGTCGTTACGATGTCGACATTTTACGACGTCAGAGATCACCCGTTTACTGGAGCGGGGACTCGACGGAAGTGAGACGATGCTCATGGTTCTTCAAAGGGCCCACAGAGACGAGATACGTTCCTTACGACGAAAGCACTGCCACTAAACTCGAGGAAGAATATAAACAATCGTGCCTGAGTAACATTTGGAATAAAAAGATCGAGTTGAGCAATGGGGAGTACATCGTCTTTCACAGTGCCACCGTTCAGGTTCACTATATGACTGCTTCTTCGCTTGAACTGGCAACTGCGTGGGGTAATAGCTCGGTAAATTTCGTTATTGCATTTTAATAGCAGTTATCAATTTTTATTATATTTAATAATTATATATATAATGTATATTATATATATTTATAATTATATATAATAATTAATCTTATGGAGGGCGCGGTTGAGCTGATAGATATACGCGAAATATTTTTATTAATATTTTTAAATTGTTACATATTTATATTTTTGTGTATTTTATTATTGGAATTTTTAAATTGCATCTATTTTTTGCTATTTCAAATTTTAAATTGTATTTCATATGTATATTGTTTTGGGAATTTCATAATCCATGTTATATATAATGTTATTTGTGATGTATGTTGTAGATACTTTAGCTATTTATGATGTGAAGATTTGGAATAGTTTATTTGATTCTTCAGTTATGCTATCTATTTACAAAGAATGTGTATTTCAATTTGTTACAAAGGATTCATTTGCATATTTATACTTTGTTTAAAAATGATTATTATAATTCATATTTTTGTATACTTTTTACTCTACTAGTTTTACTATTGTTCTCATTAATTGAATCGCAGATGACTTTTTATCTAATATGGAATATTTTAATTTTTACAACCGCACCCTTTATATGGTTAAAATGTTATAAAATAAAATAAAATGTTATAGTTGTATATATTAACAGATTAAAGTACGTTGTTTAAAAGTATTATTTTGGAAAATGTATGACAAAAATTCGAAATTTATACGTGCACACGGACTTTAATATGTTATATATTACATTAAAATATTGTATTAGTAACATCAGTTATACGATGTATTTTAATATTTAATATTTATTCAATTTATGTGCTATGTGCTACATGCTTTTGTTACTTACTTTGCTTTCCATTCATTTGTCATCTAATATTTTATGTTATTTCATGCTGTTTAAAAAATGTATTTATTTTACGTATATCATGTCCTTCAATTTTATGCCAAATTTGAAATTTAAGTATTTGACATCTTTTAAGAATATAAAATATATTTCCTTTACTATCTTTATTAAAATATTATTCATAAATTGAACACAGAGTGAAATTATGCGAATAGTAGTTCTTTGCTATTTAAATTATATTTTCGTTTAACATTTGCCGTAATTTTGTTAGCATATTAAATAATTTATACAGTAATGATCAATATTATATACTTCGTACAATGTTACGTAAATTGCTATTTTTGGCAAGAATGTAATGCATTCCATTTTTTTTTTTCTTTTTTTTTTCTTCATGGCGCACAAATTGCTCTGTTGGAAATATTCAATCCCAATTTGTACAGGGCTCAGAGGACAGTACATATTTACAGGGTGCTGGTAGTAGACCCAGAGTGATAAAAAGGGGCCTTGATGAGTTTCATATCGAAGATGGCGAGCCTGAGAAAGTGGATCATCTCCTGTTCCTCGTCCATGGTATCGGAAGTGTCTGTGACTTGAAATTCCGAAGTGTAGAGGAAGTTGGTACGTACAGAATTATTTTTACAACTTCACTCAATATATAAATGTACACATACACTATACCAATTTCTTTTCAGTAAAATACTTTTTATCAAGTAGTATAAAATATAAAATTCTTATCAAATAAACTAAATTCAAATGTTTGATAAAATATATCTATAATATATTTATATATCTATATATAATTTTTATTTTACTCTGTTTTACGAAACAGTTAAATTTTCTACAATTTTTCTTTAAAGTCAACAACTTTTAATAATAATCTTGAGAAATGATTATATCATTATCAAAAAATAATATAACGTTTCATATCGATATATATAATAACTTAAGAAATTTTTTTACTTTTTTTCTTGTTTTTTGGTTCTCAAATTTTTGTCTAGAATTACAATCATACAAGTTTTTCTATGTATGAAGTCTTTTATTTAAAATAAAATAACTAGTATCACTATAAAATTTTAAAAATAATATTACAATAATTCAATAATATGACTAACAATTTCTGTTATATCTGCATTTACAGTTGACGAATTTCGAAGTATTTCACTGCAGTTAGTCCAGTCGCATTATCGAACCGCAAGTGAACAAAGGATCGTGAACAGGATAGAAGTTTTACCAATCTCGTGGCACACAACGCTTCACTCCGAAGACACTGATAAGAAACTACAGGCCATCACCTTGGACAGCATACCGAAATTACGACATTTCACCAATGACACGTTGCTCGACATACTTTTCTACACTAGTCCCGTGTATTGTCAAACCATTATAGAAACGGTTGGAAACGAAATAAACAGGTTACACGCTCTTTTCAAAAAAAGAAACCCAGATTTCGAAGGAGGGATTTATCTGGGCGGGCATTCGTTGGGTAGCTTAATTTTGTTTGATCTTCTGTGCCATCAGAAACCGCTACCGGATGATAAATTGAGTGAAAATGAAACCGAATCTAACGAAGAACAAGTAAGTAAATCATGTCTATTCGATTGTAAAAGAGAAACGCAGAGAATCGGTTTCAGAATAACTTATCTGATATATTATACATGAAAATTCTAATTACTTTTTATTACCGTGAAACAAAAATTTTAGAAGAAACTTGTATAGAATTAATATTGGTATTTTATCAATAACGATTAAATTAGTTTTAATATAAAATTACTGATATTATTGAAAATAATATTGAATTATTATTCATGTAATAGCAATTACAAATTTGTTGTAATATAGAATTACTGATATTATTCTGAACAGTACTGGATCAATATCGTTATTCCTTCAGTAACAATTGAATTATATTTAATATAGAATTATTAATATTATTGAAAATAACATTGAATCAATATTGTTATTCATTCAATAGCAATTCAATTTTATTTAATTTGGAATTATTAATGTTATTAAAACTAATATTAAATTAATATTTTTATTTATTCTTATTTAACGTCCCTTTATTTTAAAAAGCACAAAGTTCAAATAACACAGTGCTGTACACACTCAATTTTTGTTTAAACCTTACAGTCATGAAATATAATTTATCATTGAAAATACCTCCCAATCATCCGAAGTCATGAAGCGACGTCTTAGTAAGAAAATAAGCTATGTAGTAGGTGCTGCCGGAACGGGTCAGCCTTATATGCATTATACACAGTTACATTTTCACCCACGTGCCTTTTTCGCTCTCGGCAGTCCGATTGGTATGTTCGTAACAGTTCGAGGTATCGATATGCTCGGGGAAGACTTCGTATTACCAACGTGCCCTGCTTTTTTCAATATATTCCACCCATTCGACCCTGTAGCTTACAGGGTCGAGGCACTCATTAATCCAGCCGCCCCCAAATATCGACCCATGTTGATACCTCACCACAAGGGACGTAAGAGGATGCATTTGGGTAAGTGTTTATTCGAATCCATTCTTCTTCTTTTTAAATTAAATTTTTTTTTTAATTTCCTTTTTTTTAAATAAAATAAATTCTCTTATTATACGTTAATAAATTAAATTTATCTTGGAACGTTTCTCAGAAGATATCTTGTATGCTAGACTTAATATTATGATGAATATTCTATAGTAAAAATGTTCAATTATTTTGCAAATTATTATAATTATATTTATGAAAAATAATGGCCTTTAGATTTTCACGAATATAAGATAATATGTAAATATAACCAAAGAACAGAATAAATTTTGTAATTTTATTTATACTTCAGAATTAAAGGAAACAATGGCGCGTGTTGGAGCTGATTTGAAGCAGAAATTACTGGACTCCGTGAGAAACACGTGGAACTCTGTTTATCAATTAGCAGTGTTTCACAAGCCGGATAATAGTGCGCTGGAACGTGAAATTGATAAGGTCATGGAGGAACAATTGCAGAATACAACTGTTACGGATCAACAAATTAATAACGATGGCGGTACTGAATTCAAAGTGGGCAAGTTAAATGGCGGAAGGAGAATAGATTATGTTCTTCAGGAAGCTCCATTCGAATACATCAACGAATACATTTTTGCACTAACGAGCCACGTCTGCTACTGGTTAGTAAAATTCTTGAAATTTTGTTTTGTTAAAGGAAAATTTGAATTAAGTAAAGTTGAGGTAGATAATAAAGGCATAACATAATTTTCAGAGATTTTAAATTTTTAAATTGTGTTAATAAAATTAATATTAAATAAACCATTAATCGTAGAGCTAATTCAGACATTATTAATCATATCAGTGGTAGCTAAAATATTATTTAGAATAGTAGTGTCGAATTAAGTAACAAATTATCATATTTACAAGAAATAAATAATACCTTAAATATTTCTAATAAATAAACAATTTTTTAATATCTGTAATATACACAAAAGTATTTGCATTGCGTTACATCTACAACATATAACTATAACTTAATTACTTCATTTTCTAATACTTATGCTAATTATGTTAAAGGAAATATACGGCTCCTCTGGTATTCAAACAGATACTCAACTTCCACAACAAACGCTGTCCATAGAACGAGCATCTGCTTCGCCATCTTTAATTCCATCGTCCACTAAATGCGACGAAATACCACCATTGGTACCTGTTATGGGAATGGATCCCACTGCACCTATATCCGAGAGAGCTGTTGGTCCACCACCTAAGAGTGGATTTATTAAAAAGTCATGATCAAAATGGAATCGTTTAAGTTTTGTTGAAGAATTTGACGACAAGGATGGCCAAGGCGATGTCCAGAACCACAGAGTCGCACGTGATCAGGTCGATGCGGGCATTGTACCTGATATTAATGCGAGCTACAAATTCTACGATTAGTAAAAATCAAATTCTCCTGTTTCCTATGAAAGTTGATGTAGGATGTTAACGAATCAGCTATAGCGTTCTAAACTTTTGCCCAAATGGATTGTTCCTTCGAGTGTTCTCGATAGCTTAAAGCCGTTTAGAATTGTCGGCCTATGCGACGACGTTCCAGCAAAGAAAATGATTCACTAAAAACGTCTCGCATAAAAAGAAAAAAATCGAAATAAATTGTAACGATCTAATTCTTAGATGCAACGTGGAAATTATATAGTGTTGGACTATTTTATGTCGGTTATCACGATACGATGTTTCGACAAGTGGAAGATATTGTAACATTAATTAAAAATTTAAGGGATATTAACATAGGGCAAGCGAACGAAGGTGAGACTTTGTAATACAAAAGAAAGTTACGAAGATTAATCATATTGTTTATTCTAAATATATGATTTATAAATGGACACGACGTAAATATAGGTTATATGGAGTTTTTCAAAATACGCTCGCACTATGAGAATTTAGCTCTACCTTCTCATCGATGCAAGAATTTTAATAAAATACCGTATTCTTTTATTCGCCAGACCTCTTTTTAATCGTCTTGCACCTTGTCCCCCTATGCATTTTTGATTTTTGTTCTTTGGTATGTATTACAAGATACTAACATATTATTTTTGTATGACACGTATTATAAATTTTTTTAATTTAATGTATTTATTGAAATAATATTTAATTGTGAATTTATATATAATTTACAAATTATAGTTTTTGAAATAGGAAAATTTGATTATATATTTTCTTAGTACAGAGATTTTTACTTTTATAGGTTTAATTGATTTGTGAATAGAAATTTTTGTAAAAAGAAAATAATATTTTAAAAGAAGAAATAATTTAATAAAATATTACAGAATAGAACTGAATAATTTTACTTACTTGATAAATATAATAACCAAACTACAGGATTTAAAGTTGCCAAATCTCTATTGCCAAAGTTCTGAGTAACAGAAATTAGCAAATTAGTTAAAATGACTTCGAAATTTTTGTTCTTACAATTACTGGAAACATATAACTCCTTTTGGCAAAACTAGTGGTAATTTTTATTGGTATAAAATCAGAATTGTATACACCTATTTAACTGCATAATACGATTTTAATTATTATTGCCTATGTATATTATATGTATAACATACTAATATTTAATCATTCCAGAATTAAGAACAATTTTTACTTTCGTCTTCCTACATATATTTTACATCATAAACACAAAAAGCAGTGAATCTGACATCGTTCCAGCAAGAACGTGAAACCCTGAGACGACTGTTGAGGGATCGTTTCGTGTTACGCGAAAAAAGCAACCCCCTCTCCTATCAACCGCACCCCCTACCGTGCCGCCCGTTATCGTTCGTTTCCGTCTTCAGTAAAAATTCCGTCACAGCGTCGTTAATCGCCGGTCGGATCTTCCATGTCCTTTGGAGCGGTGCTACAAGTCCCTCGGGATCATCGAATGGCGTTAGCTTATCGTGCGAGTAGTTTTTAGTTAGCTGACATAAAAAAAGAGTGGTTCGGCACATGCACGGGTATCACGAAACGCTAATTAATTGCGGTGCAAGCCCACGGTCTCTGCGGGGGCTGCTTTGCATTTTGCGTGCAGGCCCTCATAAAACTACATGCCTGTCAGCCCGGGCGAATTTCAAGATGATTTATCGTCTTGGCAAAACTAAGTTTTTCGCGATACTTCGTGGCTTCGCTTAGATTCTGAAAGGCGCGGGCAATGCCTTTGCACATGCAACTATACCAGCAGGTACCGTTGCCTTACGCGACTCGACGTTCGCTGATCGACTCGTGTGTTTTATGTCCCTTCTATACCGACTCGGCCCGCGTTTGAAATATGACCCCCACTCTCACTCCCATCCCCACTTCCACTCCTACTCCATTCCCGTTACTGGAACCTCGTCCGCTGTACTTCTTCATGGCTTTCACGCGAAACGCTTCTGCGTCGCTTAACTATTATAGGTATTTATGCCGGATAATGACCACCTTTGGCTGTAATTTCGATCGCACGAAAGGTTACCACGTCGTGAATATATTTTAACAGGTCGGTGCTGCGTTAATCGCGCGTCGGACGGACTCATTAATTCGATGCAAGTCACAAAGCTAAGTACCTAGTGTAAGAGGTTAGGAAGAAAGAGACAGAAGATATAAGTAAGATATAAACGATTATGAAATGGAGTATAATATCATTAGGGAAAAAATATATTAATATTGTGAACTAGAGCATATTAGATTATTTAGAAATTTATTCTTTCAGACATTTCTGTTGTGCAATTTATACAAGACAAACCTGGTAGAGATTTCTTGATACGGTTTTATCTAATTTGTATTATTATTTTTTGCTGTCATATTGAGGCTATATCAGATGAATAGTTTATGTAGAATTTTAGAAGCACAGATTTTTTACATCTAGAACTTTTCAGTCAAATAATATGTATTTTTAGAACACTATATGAACCAATTTGTAACTATCACAAAATATCACAAATTTTATATTGTACGTCAATACGATTAGTAAAGTATGAATCGATAACAGTATTTCGTTAAAATAAATAAAGTAACATGAACAGAGTGTTTACCATTTATTTTTATAAATATATTTTTATTTCACGAATTTTAGAAAAAACTTCATTAAAATTTGTTTCGATAATAAATGCTACAAAGTTAATAATAATATTCTATAGATTAAATTGAATTATTTTAGGCATACGTATAGATTAAATTGAATTATTTTAGGCATACGTATAAATTAAATGTCTCGATATTATGCTTTAACTTTAAAACAGATAAATATAAACATTAGATAGTAACAATTTTCAAAATTTGTTCGCAGATCAAAATGGTTGAACCCGAGTTTATCTTTTGTTCCGGCGTACATGTTTACGACGTTACAACGTAAAATTGTAATGCTCCATAGAATATAACTTTCCGCTTCGGTATACAGTGGCAACCACATCAGGGGACAGACGTTTATGTCCAGCTGTTGTAGCAGAAAGTGAAGTAGGGGTAAGATTTTACAACGAGGCTCGGCAAAAGTGATTTATACCTTGGAAAAACTGCATGACGTTTACGATATCTAGTCGCGAATTATTTATGGTGGTTGCTTGTGTCAAGTGAACCTCGCTATGCATATCTCGTCTTTTTCTTAGAAGATACGCAGGTATCAGGTGAAAGATAGAATTCGACTGGGTTTGACGTTAAATCACGTGTGACACGGTGATATATATATACAATTTGAAGCAAAAGGTATGAAAACAAAATTCGAACAAATAACCCGAAATTTGTATATTTCGCTTTTTATTATTATATTTTCAGATTTAAAATGATACCCTGGGAAACAACGAGTAAGATGGAAGCGAATCTTTGGCTTTTGATCAATGTGCTAGTAAATTAATGTTAAATACACGTAAAATCAAGTGAGTAAATTTAAAAAATTTTTTGTTCTTTTATGAAATACTTTATAATATTAATTTACTGCGTTAATTTATTATAGATAAGCTCTTTACACGTAGGTTTATAAACTTCCTTTATTCTATATTAAATTTTTTTCTATTATGTTGTATAGAATAGCAATTATCTGGAAAAAGAACGCCTTTTTGTTGCTGCATCGACTTTTAATTTGAAGCTATTTCATCCCCAACTGGTAATGCTGGTTCACCACTGCACTGTTGTAGGCGACCACAGCAGTTTGAATTTGGTTTGATCTAGGTTAGTTAATTTTAATTTGCAAATACTATTAACGCGTAAATACTATTAATGATTTTTATCGTTCAAAAAACGAAACCCAAATTAAAATTAAACAACAGAATTAATTAACATCACAAGGAGACAATTTTCATTATAAAAATTCATTTTTTCCCAAAAATACTATTATGTCATTAAATAACATTAATAATATCTTTAACTTTTTCCAAAATTCCTTGCATTTATCGTCTACTTTTAAAAATCTTATATCTTTAAGTCAAACTTGTATAATCGACAAAAATGATTTTCGTGTTATTCTCACGTGCTCCTCGTTTATGACTTAATTATACCAGTGGAGAATTAATTTCAGTTATCTTCACAGGTCCCCTATATATGGCAATAAATTTCAAACGCTTGCACGTCCGAGGAGAATTGAGAGCAACTTCATCTCTAACGCCAATGACATTCACTGGCTGTTCTATTCTATGCCCCACTTCATGGCAGTGACTAAGCAACCAATAGCAGTACGTTTCAGCTAGTCGTTTGTTTAAAGAGAACGTTCGCCTTCTTGAGAACGAGCGTCATAGCTTCTGAAAACTTGTCGACCATTTGTGCATCGACGTCAATAATTCTTGACGCATTTTGAAAATTTGGATTTTTGCCTGTGTCCGTTTCAACTGGAAGGGTCAGACACACGACGC